ATAAAAAGTGAACAAAAACCACAGCCATTCACAACAATACATCTGTCGGTCATATGAAAACGATTATACGAGAACTGTTTTCGTACGATACGCTTGCAAGCGTTTATCGTCTATCGTGTGAAAATTCATGATAGGGGGGTTAGTGAAAAACTTAAAAATTTTAGATTTCCTCAGTTCTTTTGACACTTAAGAATAATTTAAGATCTTAATTCTCCTTGTTCTCTTTCTTTTCGCGGTAAAGTTTTTTAAAATATTTAGCCTTTTCAAAATGGATGGCTTTTCTAAGCATCTCTTCCGGCGTCGATCCCTTGAATGGTAACTTGGCAACGGCTCCTGAAAATTATATAAAAAAAATTTCATTTAAACTAAAAAGAAATCATAATTTATTAGAATGAAATTTTGGGTTTTACCTGTCAACACGGTATAAAAGTTTGGAAATTTTTTTAGCCCAATTTTTCCATGTGAACCATCAAGGTTTAAGGCTACAATGACGTCCGTTTTTAAGACGAGTGAAATATTTTTCATGTTATTACATAAAATTGATGCTATTACAAATTCCTGTAAATAGGTACAATAAATATTACAAATTTCGTTCACACATAAATAAATAACTAGCGTACATATACATCCTTGTTGGCAGAAGAAATTTTTGCCTCAAGCTCCTCCATTTCCGTTATATCGCATACAGGGAAGTATTTTGCCACAGGTACATTTTGCGTCTCTTGGCGAACCAATTGCTGTGTAACCACTTTCTGGCTTGCAATCGCATCCATAATCGCGGTGTTTTGCCTTTCGACAGTCAAAAGGAGCTGATCCAGCTTCTCATCAATTGTTTCAAGTTGCTTCTCAAACAAATTGCAGTGGCTGCAACACACAACTTCCAAAACGCCTTCGGTGGGTTCTATAAGTAATATATTTAAAAACGCTGTAACTACAATCGGCTAACCAATAATAACTATGTACATACATATATATTGCCACCTAAACTGCAAAAAGCCATAACTAACAAACGTTCTTTTAGATAAAACGATGTGGGGACTTGTAATTCGATGAAATGTATCATAGTCAATCAAAAATAATATTTTGGATTTTTTTTCAGTTACGACCTTTTACAATTCAGTTGGCGATATGTAATGTACATACATATGTTTTGCATATACATCTGCAGCGAAAATAATAGCAGTGCGACGTATTAATAAAGTTTTAAACTTCGGTTTAAATATGTGGTTTTGATTAGAGAATAAACCACCAAGAGGTAAGAGGCTGGTAGCTTAAGTTTTACGTCACGTATGTATGTATATAATTAAATAATGTACCGAGGTTATATCCAATGGTCGACGTCGAAACGCTGATTCTACGTGATTCTAAAAATATAACGAAAGTTAAGCATAACGAACACAAAAGTATGAAAATTTCACATTGCAGAAGTTTATTACCTATTGTACATTCATTGACGTGACTTATACCGCTTGTCCCCGGGTTAATAGTCTTGTTCGCATCTAAAATTGATTTTAAGCTTATGTACTAATATAATTAATAAATAATCTATACTTACATTTTGCCTTTTTTGCTGGGATGGCCGCCATCGAGCTGCTGCGGTTTTGCGCTCTGAATTTTTTTTAGAAAGTGCTCGAAAATAAAAATAAATTTATTATTGATCTCGTATTTTAACAAAAAGTAAGAAAAGTATAGTTAAAAAAGTAATAATAAAAGTATTGAAAAGTTAAGTTAATAAAAAATAGCTACATGCAAGTATGCAAAATTGGAATGAGAAGAATTTTCTCTCCTAAAGGAATGCACATCAATTTGTATTCTATATCCTCCAGAGAAAATTCCTCTACAATAGGCGAGAGAGTGAGGTCTGCAGTACATATTCCCAATGTGCAAGAATCAATGGGTTCTGCGAAAAAGCTTTCCAAATTCAACAATTTCTTGCCTTTTATAACTTTTTTATTTTTATCTTCGAATTCCTGTATTTCTATATACTGAAATGGTTTCACAGAACAATAGTTATTTGGACATGCTGTGGATAACATGTATTCGTTAGAATAAAAACTTTTTATGCAATCATTTTTCATTTTAAATCCAGCAAATTTTGGCTCAGTGACAATTTTTTCGTGCTTGAGCATATTTGATATTTGTTGTAATATTTGTGTTGGTTTTTTTACATACGATTTCAGAACTTGTAGATAATTTTCAAACGAATATGCGGAGTAATTTGACGGTACACCTAGTTCTTTAACATCTTCTGAAACATGTAGTAAACCATGTACGTTGTACGAAACGCTATTTTCTCCAAACACAAGAGCAAAATTTTGAACAAATAATTTTAATATATTTTCCGCTGTATCAATATTAGCCCTATAATTTTTAGGGCAGAACAATAACCGGCAAGCACAATGTAGAAGGAGGAATTCGTAATAAACATCATCGGGAAGTTCATCTTTTAAGACATAAATTCCATAATAGAAAAGGTTTGGTTTTCGTACAAACTAGTTTTGAAGAAATATTAACCTTTGCTTCTTTTTTCAACTTATGGTTCGATTTATTGTTTATAACTCGTATAAGAAACTTGCGCATGACACCTAAATCAATTAAGTGCATGACATCAAAAGGAACTTGCGTAATCTTATTAATATTAATCTTCTCTAGAGGAGATAAATTGGTCTTGAAAGCGGATATATGTTTATACGGGTATTTGCGTTCCAAAAAATCAGAGTTGGAAATAAGCGTTCCGACGTTGGTACTATAGGTTAGTACGCCTTCAATTTTTTTGCCCACTTGATTACATTTGGAACAACCATGTCGAGAAGTGTGCCCAGGTATTCCGCAGAGAAAAGATTTCGCCGGCGCATCACAAATAAAAGCCCTAACCTGAAACGTAATGCAGCGACCATTGCATTCGAAACAACAAGCTTGCAGTTCTGCGACTTCTTCAATAAATTCGCTTAAAAATTTTGTTATAGAATCTGGCTTGGATTGTCCTGCATAAATACCAGCAGCGAATACCGATGTATTTGGTACATTTTCAATACGTAATAAAACTGGCCACAGCTGCATCCTTGAGCTACGATATAGTGGCAACCCATCAATATTAACATCTACTACTATTGTGCTGTGATTAGTTAATTGGTCAGCAATTTTTTCTAATTGCGTTTTAATGCCGATATTGCAGAAGAGTCCCGGGCTCATATTTTCTACTATAGCTAGAGATTTATATCTTAAAAGAGATTCGGCTCTTTTGCAAGGAGCGCCAAGAGTTCGGAAAAGGATTTCCGAGATATTTGATTACGAATTGCCCACATTTTGAGTTTTTCTTGGAAAGGTAATTCCGTTGAG